GGGCGGGGTGATGGAAAGAGGGAGAATGGGGCGGGGTGATGGAAAGAGGGAGAACGGGGCGGGGTGATGGAAAGCGGGAGAATAGGGCGGGGTGATGGAAAGCGGGAGAATGGAACGGGGTGAAGGAAAGCGGGAGAATGGGGCGGGGTGATGAAAAGCGGGAGAATGGGGCGGGGTGATGGAAAGCGGGAGAATGGGGCGGGGTGATGGAAAGCGGGAGAATTGAACGGGGTGAAGGAAAGCGGGAGAATGGGGCGGGGCGATGAAAAGCGGGAGAACGGGGCGGGGTGATGGAAAGCGGGAGAATGGGGCGGGGTGATGGAAAGAGGGAGAATGGGGCGGGGTGATGGAAAGCGGGAGAATGGGGCGGGGTGATGGAAAGCGGGAGAATGGGGCGGGGTGATGGAAAGTTGGAGAGTGGGGCGGGGTGATGGAAAGCGGGAGAATGGGGCGGGGTGATGGAAAGCGGGAGAATGGGGCGGGGTGATGGAAAGCGGGAGAATGGAACGGGGTGAAGGAAAGCGGGAGAATGGGGCAAGGCGATGAAAAGCGGGAGAACGGGGCGGGGTGATGGAAAGCGGGAGAATGGGGCGGGGTGATGGAAAGAGGGAGAATGGGGCGGGGTGATGGAAAGCGGGAGAATGGGGCGGGGTGATGGAAAGCGGGAGAATGGAACGGGGTGATGGAAAGAGGTAAAATGGGGCGGGGTGATGGAAAGCGAGAGAATGGGGCGGGGTGATGGAAAGCGGGAGAATGGGGCGGGGTGATGGAAAGCGGGAGAATGGCGCGGGGTGATGGAAAGCGGGAGAATGGGGCGGGGTGATGGAAACCGGGAGAATGGGGCGGGGTGATGGAAAGAGGGAGAATGGGGCGGGGTGATGGAAAGCGGGAGAATGGGGCGGGGTGATGGACAGCGGGAGAATGGGGCGGGGTGATGGAAAGCGGGAGAATGGGGCGGGGTGATGGAACGCGGGAGAATGGGGCGGGGTGATGGAAAGCGGGAGAATGGGGCGGGGTGATGGAAAGCGGGAGAATGGGGCGGGGTGATGGAAAGCGGGAGAATGGGGTGGGGTGATGGAATGTGGAGAATGGGCGGGGTGATGGAAAGCTAGAGAATGGGGCGGGGTGATGGAAAGCGGGAGAATGGGGCGGGGTGATGGAAAGCGGGAGAATGGGGCGGGGTGATGGAAAGGGGGAGAATGGGGCGGGGTGATGGAAAGTGGCGGGAGAATGTGGCGGGGTGATGGAAAGCGGGAGAATGGGGCGGGGTGATGGAAAGCGGGAGAATGGGGCGGGGTCATGGACAGCGGGAGAATGGGGCGGGGTGATGGAAAGCGGGAGAATGGGGCGGGGTGATGGAAAGCGGGAGAATGGGGCGGGGTGATGGAAAGCGGGAGAATGGGGCGGGGTGATGGAAAGCGGGAGAATGGGGCGGGGTGATGGAAAGCGGGAGAATGGGGTGGGGTGATGGAATGTGGAGAATGGGCGGGGTGATGGAAAGCTAGAGAATGGGGCGGGGTGATGGAAAGCGGGAGAATGGGGCGGGGTGATGGAAAGCGGGAGAATGGGGCGGGGTGATGGATAGCGGGAGAATGGGGCATGGTGATGGAAAGTGGCGGGAGAATGGGGCGGGGTGATGGAAAGTGGGAGAATGGGGCGGGGTGATCGAAAGAGGGAGAATGGGGCGGGGTGATGGAAAGCAGGAGAATGGGGCGGGGTGATGGAAAGCGGGAGAATGGGGCGGGGTGATGGAAAGCGGGAGAATGGGGCGGGGTGATGGAAAGCGGGAGAATGGGGCGGGGTGATGGAAAGAGGGAGAATGGGGCGGGGTGATGGAAAGAGGGAGAATGGGGCGGGGTGATGGAAAGCGGGAGAATGGGGCGGGGTGATGGAAAGCTGGAGAATGGGGCGGGGTGATGGAAAGCAGGAGAATGGGCGGATTGATGGAAAGCGGGAGAATGGGGCGGGGTAATGGAAAGCGGGATAATGGGGCGAGGTGATGGAAAGCGGGAGAATGGGGGCGGGGTGATGGAAAGAGAGAGAATGGGGCGGGGTGATGGAAAGCGGGAGAATGGGGCGGGGTGATGGAAAGCGAGAGAATGGGGCGGGGTGACGGAAAACGGGAGAATGGGGCGGGGTGATGAAAAGCGGGAGAATGGGCGGGGTGATGGAAAGCGGGAGAATGGGGCGGGGTGATGGAAGGCGGGAGAATGGGGCGGGGTGATGGAAAGCGGGAGAATGGGGCGGGGTGATGGAAAGCGGGAGAATGGGGCGGGGTGATGGAAAGTTGGAGAATGGGGCGGGGTGATGGAAAGCGGGAGAATGGGGCGGGATGATGGAAAGCGGGAGAATGGGGCGGGGTGATGGAAAGCAGGAGAATGGGGCGGGGTGATGGAAAGCAGGAGAATGGGGCGGGGTGATGGAAAGAGGGAGAATGGGGCGGGGTGATGGAAAGCGGGAGAATGGGGCGGGGTGATGGAAAGCGGGAGAATGGGGCGGGGTTATGGAAAGTGGGAGAATGGGGCGGGGTGATCGAAAGCGGGAGAATGGGGCGGGGTGATGGGAAGAGGGAGAATGGGGCGGGTGATGGGAAGCGGGAGAATGGGGCAGGTGAAGGAAAGAGGGAGAATGGGGCGGGGTGATAGAAAGCGGGAGAATAGGGCGGGGTGATGGAAAGCGGGAGAATGGAGCGGGGTGATGGAAAGTGGGAGAATGGGGCGGGGTGATGGAAAGCGGGAGAATGGAGCGGGGTGATGGAAAGCGGGAGAATGGGGCGGGGTGATGGAAAGCGGGAGAATGGGGCGGGGTGATGGAAAGCGGGAGAATGGGGCGGGGTGATGGAAAGCGGGAGAATGGGGCGGGTTGATGGAAAGCGGGAGAATGGGGCGGGGTGATGGAAAGCGGGAGAATGGGGCGGGGTGATGGAAAGCGGGAGAATGGGGCAGGGTGATGGAAAGAGGGAGAATGGGGCGGGGTGATGGAATGCAGGAGAATGGGGTGGGGTGATGGAAAGAGGGAGAATGGGGCGGGGTGATGGAAAGCGGGAGAATGGGGCGGGGTGATGGAAAGCGGGAGAATGAGGCGGGGTGATGGGAAGAGGGCGGATGGGCCGGGGTGATGGGAAGCGGGGGAATGGGGCGGGGTGAAGGAAAGCGGGAGAATAGGCCGGGGTGATGGAAAGCGGGAGAATTGGGCGGGGTGATCGAAAGCGGGAGAATGGGGCGGGGTGATGGGAAGAGGGCGAATGGGGCGGGGTGATGGGAAGCGGGAGAATGGGGCGGGGTGAAGGAAAGAGGGAGAATGGGGCGGGGTGATAGAAAGCGGGAGAATGGGGCGAGGTGATGGAAAGCGGAAGAATGGAGCGGGGTGATAGAAAGCGGGAGAATGGGGCGGGGTGATGGAAAGCGGGAGAATGGGGCGGGGTGATGGAAAGCGGGAGAATGGGGCGGGGTGATGGAAAGAGGGAGAATAAGGCGGGGTGATGGAAAGAGGGAGAATGGGGCGGGGTGATGGAAAGCGAGAGAATGGGCCGGGATGATGGAAAGAGGGAGAATGGGGCGGGGTGATGGAAAGCGGGAGAATGGGGCGGGGTGATGGAAAGCGGGAGAATGGGGCAGTGTGATGGAAAGAGGTAGAATGGGGCGGGGTGATGGAAAGCGGGAGAATGGGGCGGGGTGATGGGGGAGTATGGGGCGCGGTGATGGAAAGCGGGAGAATGGGGCGGGGTGATGGAAAGCGGGAGAATGGGGCGGGGTGATGGGAAGAGGGAGAATGGGGCAGGGTGATGGGAAGCCAGGGAATGGGGCGGGGTGGAGGAAAGCGGGAGAATGGGGCGGGGTGATAAAAAGCGGGAGAATGGGGTGGGGTGATCGAGAGCGGGAGAATGGGGCGGGGTGATGGGAAGAGGGAGAATGGGGCGGGGTGATGGGAAGCGGGAGAATGGGGCGGGGTGAAGGAAAGAGGGAGAATGGGGCGGGGTGATAGAAAGCGGGAGAATGGGGCGGGTTGATGGAAAGCGGTAGAATGGAGCGAGGTGATAGAAAGCGGGAGAATGCGGCGGGGTGAAGGAAAGCGGGAGAATGGGGCGGGGTGATGGAAAGCGGGAGAATGGGGCCTTGAGGGCTTGAAGGCTTGAAGGCTTGAGGGCTTGAAGGCTTGAGGGCTTGAGGGCTTGAGGGCTTGAAGGCTTGAGGGCTTTAGGGCCTGAAGGCTTGAAGGCATGAAGGCTTGAAGGCTTGAAGGCTTGAGAGCTTGAGGGCTTGAAGGCTTGAGGGCTTGAGGGCTTGAGGACTTGAAGGCTTGAAGGCTTGAAGGCTTGAGGGCTTGAGTGCTTAAGGGCTTGAGGGCTTGAGGGCTTGAGGGATTGAGGGCTTGAAGGCTTGATGGCTTGAGGGCTTGAAGGCTTGAAGGCTTGAAGGCTTGAAGGCTTGAACACTTGAGGGCTTGAGGGCTTGAGGGCTTGAAGGCTTGAGGGCTTGAGGGCCTGAAGGCTTGAAGGCTTGAAGGCTTGAAGGCTTGAAGGCTTGAGAGCTTGAGGGCTTGAAGGCTTGAGGGCTTGAGGGCTTGAGGACTTGAAGGCTTGAAGGCTTGAAGGCTTGAAGGCTTGAAGGCATGAGGGCTTGAGGGCTTGAGGGCTTGAAGGCTCGAAGGCTTGAAGGCTTGAGGGCTTGAAGGCTTGAAGGCTTGAGGGCTTGAGGGCTTGAAGGCTTGAAGGTTTGAGGGCTTGAGGGCTTGAAGGCTTGAAGGCTTGAAGCCTTGAGGGCTTGAGGGCTTGAAGGCTTGAGTGCTTGATGGCTTGAAGGCTTGAGGGCTTGAAGGCTTGAGGGCTTGAGGGCGTGAGGGCTTGAGGGCGTGAGGGCGTGAGGGCTTGAGGGCTTGAGGGCTTGAGGGCTTGAGGGCTTGAAGGCTTGAATTCTTGAAGGCTTGAAGGCTTGAAGGCTTGAAGGCTTGAGGGCTTGAGGGCTTGAGGGCTTGAAGGCTTGAAGGCTTGAGGGCTTGACGACACCAGGCCCACCAGGTCAAGGTCGAAAGCCTTGGCCCTGACCAGCAGAGGGAGGAGGGGGAAGGGGGGCAAGTACATGAGGAAAATGAGCCCGTGCCCCACACTGGCGATGACAGGGAAACTCACTGCGGATCGGAGGACACCAGGCACCTGATGACAGAGGTACTTTCATCTCACCATCTGATGACAGAGGTACTTTCATCTCACCATCTGATGAAAGAGGTACTTTGATCTCACCATCTGATGAAAGAGTTACTTTCATCTCACCATCTGATGAAAAAGGTACTTTCATCTCACCATCTGATGAAAGAGTTACTTTCATCTCACCATCTGATAAAAGAGTTACTTTCATCTCACCATCTGATGAAAGAGGTACTTTCATCTCACTATCTGATGAAAGAATTACTTTCATCTCACCATTTGATGAAAGAGGTACTTTCATCTCACCATCTGATGAAAGAGTTACTTTCATCTCACCATCTGATGAAAGAGATACTTTCATCTCACCATCTGATGAAAGAGGTACTTTCATCTCACCATCTGATGAAAGAGTTACTTTCATCTCACCATCTGATGAAAGAGTTGCTTTCATCTCACCATCTGATGAAAGAGTTACTTTCATCTCACCATCTGAAGAAAGAGTTGCTTTCATCTCACCATCTGATGAAAGAGTTGCTTTCATCTCACCATCTGATGAAAGAGGTACTTTCATCTCACCATCTGATGAAAGAATTACTTTCATCTCACCATCTGATGAAAGAGGTACTTTCATCTCACCATCTGATGTAAGAGTTGCTTTCATCTCACCATCTGATAAAAGAGTTACTTTGATCTCACCATCTGATGAAAGAGGTACTTTCATCTCACCATCTGATGAAAGAGTTGCTTTCATCTCACCATCTGATGAAAGAGTTGCTTTCATCTCACCATCTGATGAAAGAGTTACTTTCATCTCACCATCTGATGAAAGAGTTGCTTTCATCTCACCATCTGATGAAAGAGGTATTTTCATCTCACCATCTAATGAAAGAGTTACTTTCATCTCACCATCTGATGAAAGAGGTACTTTCATCTCACCATTTGATGAAAGAGTTACTTTCATCTCACCATCTGATGAAAGAGGTACTTTCATCTCAGCATCTGATGAAAGAGGTACTTTCATCTCACCATCTGATGAAAGAGTTACTTTCATCTCACCATCTGATGAAAAAATTACTTTCATCTCACCATCTGATGAAAGAGTTACTTTCATCTCACCATTTGATGAATCATAACTTTCATCTCACCATCTGATGAAAGAGTTACTTTCATCTCACCATCTGATGAAAGAGTTACTTTCATCTCACCATCTGATGAAAGAGGTACTTTCATCTCACCATCTGATGAAAGAATTACTTTCATCTCACCATCTGATGAAAGAGGTACTTTCATCTCACCATCTGATGAAAGGGTTGCTTTCATCTCACCATCTGATGAAAGAGTTATTTTGATCTCACCATCTGATGAAAGAGGTACTTTCCTCTCACTATCTGATGAAAGAATTACTTTCATCTCACCATCTGATGAAAGAGGTACTTTCATCTCACCATCTGATGAAAGAGTTACTTTCATCTCACCATCTGATGAAAGAGGTACTTTCATCTAACCATCTGATGAAAGAGGTACTTTCATCTCACCATCTGATGAAAGAGTTACTTTCATCTCACCATCTGATGAAAGAGTTGCTTTCATCTCACCATCTGATGAAAGAGTTACTTTCATCTCACCATCTGAAGAAAGAGTTGCTTTCATCTCACCATCTGATGAAAGAGTTGCTTTCATCTCACCATCTGATGAAAGAGGTACTTTCATCTCACCATCTGATGAAAGAATTACTTTCATCTCACCATCTGATGAAAGAGGTACTTTCATCTCACCATCTGATGAAAGAGTTGCTTTCATCTCGCCATCTGATAAAAGAGTTACTTTGATCTCACCATCTGATGAAAGAGGTACTTTCATCTCACCATCTGATGAAAGAGTTGCTTTCATCTCACCATCTGATGAAAGAGTTGCTTTCATCTCACCATCTGATGAAAGAGTTACTTTCATCTCACCATCTGATGAAAGAGTTGCTTTCATCTCACCATCTGATGAAAGAGGTATTTTCATCTCACCATCTGATGAAAGAGTTACTTTCATCTCACCATCTGATGAAAGAGGTACTTTCATCTCACCATTTGATGAAAGAGTTACTTTCATCTCACCATCTGATGAAAGAGGTACTTTCATCTCAGTATCTGATGAAAGAGGTACTTTCATCTCACCATCTGATGAAAAAGTTACTTTCATCTCACCATCTGATGAAAAAATTACTTTCATCTCACCATCTGATGAAAGAGTTACTTTCATCTCACCATCTGATGAATCATAACTTTCATCTCACCATCTGATGAAAGAGTTACTTTCATCTCACCATCTGATGAAAGAGTTACTTTCATCTCACCATCTGATGAAAGAGGTACTTTCATCTCACCATCTGATGAAAGAATTACTTTCATCTCACCATCTGATGAAAGAGGTACTTTCATCTCACCATCTGATGAAAGAGTTGCTTTCATCTCACCATCTGATAAAAGAGTTACTTTGATCTCACCATCTGATGAAAGAGGTACTTTCATCTCACCATCTGATGAAAGAGTTGCTTTCATCTCACCATCTGATGAAAGAGTTGCTTTCATCTCAACATCTGATGAAAGAGTTACTTTCATCTCACCATCTGATGAAAGAGTTGCTTTCATCTCACCATCTGATGAAAGAGGTATTTTCATCTCACCATCTGATGAAAGAGTTACTTTCATCTCACCATCTGATAAAAGAGGTACTTTCATCTCACCATTTGATGAAAGAGTTACTTTCATCTCACCATCTGATGAAAGAGGTACTTTCATCTCACCATCTGATGAAAGAGTTACTTTCATCTCACCATCAGATTAAAAAGTTACTTTCATCTCACCATCTGATGAAAGAGTTACTTTCATCTCACCATGTGATGAATCATCACATTCATCTCACCATCTGATGAAAGAGTTACTTTCATCTCACCATCTGATGAAAGAGTTACTTTCATCTCACCATCTGATGAAAGAGTTACTTTCATCTCACCGTCTGATGAATAATAACTTTCATCTCACTATCTGACGAAAGAGTTACTTTCATCTCACCATCTGATGGAAGAGTTACTTTCATCTCACCACCTGTTCAAAGAGTTACTTTCATCTCACCATCTGACGAATAATAACTTTCATCTCACCATCTGATGAAAGAGTTACTTTCATCTCACCAGCCACGTGATGAAAGAGTTACTTTGAGACGTCTGGAAATAACACGTTTATTACCAATCACCAGGTCTCAACCACCAGTCTCATCATCCCATCCCACAGTCGATGCAGTTGAGCAGAATCAATCCCGCTTTCCATCACCCCGCACCATTCCCCCGTTTTCCATCACCCCGCCCCATTCTCCCGCTTTCCATCACCCCGCCCTTTTCTCCCGCTTTCCATCACCCGGCCCCATTCTCCCGCTTTCCATCACCCCGTCCCATTCTCCCGCTTTCCATCACCCCGCCCCATTCTCTCGCTTTCCATCACCACGCCCCATTCTCTCGCTTTCCATCACTCTGCCCCATTCTACCTCTATCCATCACCCCGCCCCATTCTCCCTCTTTCCATCACCCCGCCTCATTCTCCCTCTTTCCATCACCCCGCCCCATTCTCCCTCTTTCCATCACCCTGCCCCATTCTCCCGCTTTCCATCACCCCGCCCCATTCTCCCGCTTTCCATCACCCCGCCCCATTCTCCCGCCTTCCATCACCCCGCCCCATTCTCCCGCTTTCCATCACCCCGCCCCATTCTCCCGGTTTCCATCACCCCGCCCCATTCTCCCGCATTCCATCACCCCGCCCCATTCTCCCTCTTTCCATCACCCCGCCCCATTCTCCCGCTTTCTATCACCCCGCCCCATTTTCCCGCTTTCCATCACCCCTTTCCATTCTCCCGCTTTCCATCACCCCGCCCCATTCTCCCGCTTTCCATCATCCTGCCCCATTCTCCCTCTTTCCATCACCCCGCCCCATTCTCCCGCTTTCCATCACCCCGCCCCATTCTTCCGCTTTCCATCATCCCGCCCCATTCTCCCGCTTTCCATCACCCCGCCCCATTCTCCCGCTTTGCATCACCCCGCCCCATTCTCCCGCTTTCCATCACCCCGCCCCATTCTCCCGCTTTCCATCACCCCGCCCCATTCTCCCTCTTTCCATCACCCCGCCCCATTCTCCTGCTTTCCATCACCCCCCCCCCCATTCTCCCGCTTTCCATCACCCCGCCCCATTCTCCCTCTTTCCATCACCCCGCCCCATTCTCCCGCTTTCCATCTCCCCGCCCCATTCTCCTGCTTTCCATCACCCCGTCCCATTCTCCCGCCTCTTTCCATCACCCCGCCCCATTCTCCCACTTTCCATCACCGCGCCCCATTCTCCCGCTTTCCATCACCCCGCCCCCATTCTCCTGCTTCCCATCACCCCGCCCCGTTCTCCCGCTTTCCATCACCCCGCCCCATTCTCCCGCTTTCTATCACCCCGCCCCATTCTCCTGCTTTCCATCACCCCGCCCCATTCTCCCTCTTTCCATCACCCCGCCCCATTCTCCCTCTTTCCATCACCCCGCCCCATTCTCCCTCTTTCCATCACCCCGCCCCATTCTCCCGCTTTCCATCACCCCGCCCCATTCTCCCGCTTTCCATCACCCCGCCCCATTCTCCCGCTTTCCATCACCCCGCCCCATTCTCCCGGTTTCCATCACCCCGCCCCATTCTCCCGCATTCCATCACCCCGCCCCATTCTCACTATTTCCATCACCCCGCCCCATTCTCCCGCTTTCCATCTCCCCGCCCCATTCTCCTGCTTTCCATCACCCCGTCCCATTCTCCCGCCTCTTTCCATCACCCCGCCCCATTCTCCCACTTTCCATCACCGCGCCCCATTCTCCCGCTTTCCATCACCCCGCCCCCATTCTCCCGCTTCCCATCACCCCGCCCCGTTCTCCCGCTTTCCATCACCCCGCCCCATTCTCCCGCTTTCTATCACCCCGCCCCATTCTCCTGCTTTCCATCACCCCGCCCCATTCTCCCTCTTTCCATCACCCTGCCCCATTCTCCCTCTTTCCATCACCCCGCCCCATTCTCCCGCTTTCCATCACCCCGCCCCATTCTCCCGCTTTCCATCACCCCGCCCCATTCTCCCGCTTTCCATCACCCCGCCCCATTCTCCCGCTTTCCATCACCCCGCCCCATTCTCCCGGTTTCCATCACCCCGCCCCATTCTCCCGCATTCCATCACCGCGCCCCATTCTCCCTATTTCCATCACCCCGACCCATTCTCCCGCTTTCTATCACCCCGCCCCATTTTCCCGATTTCCATCACCCCTTTCCATTCTCCCGCTTTCCATCACCCCGCCCCATTCTCCCGCTTTCCATCATCCCGCCCCATTCTCCCTCTTTCCATCACCCCGCCCCATTCTCCCGCTTTCCATCTCCCCGCCCCATTCTCCTGCTTTCCATCACCCCGTCCCATTCTCCCGCCTCTTTCCATCACCCCGCCCGATTCTCCCACTTTCCATCACCGCGCCCCATTCTCCCGCTTTCCATCACCCCGCCCCCATTCTCCTGCTTCCCATCACCCCGCCCCGTTCTCCCGCTTTCCATCACCCCGCCCCATTCTCCCGCTTTCTATCACCCCGCCCCATTCTCCTGCTTTCCATCACCCCGCCCCATTCTCCCTCTTTCCATCACCCCGCCCCATTCTCCCTCTTTCCATCACCCCGCCCCATTCTCCCTCTTTCCATCACCCCGCCCCATTCTCCCGCTTTCCATCACCCCGCCCCATTCTCCCGCTTTCCATCACCCCGCCCCATTCTCCCGCTTTCCATCACCCCGCCCCATTCTCCCGGTTTCCATCACCCCGCCCCATTCTCCCGCATTCCATCACCCCGCCCCATTCTGACTATTTCCATCACCCCGCCCCATTCTCCCGCTTTCCATCTCCCCGCCCCATTCTCCTGCTTTCCATCACCCCGTCCCATTCTCCCGCCTCTTTCCATCACCCCGCCCCATTCTCCCACTTTCCATCACCGCGCCCCATTCTCCCGCTTTCCATCACCCCGCCCCCATTCTCCCGCTTCCCATCACCCCGCCCCGTTCTCCCGCTTTCCATCACCCCGCCCCATTCTCCCGCTTTCTATCACCCCGCCCCATTCTCCTGCTTTCCATCACCCCGCCCCATTCTCCCTCTTTCCATCACCCTGCCCCATTCTCCCTCTTTCCATCACCCCGCCCCATTCTCCCGCTTTCCATCACCCCGCCCCATTCTCCCGCTTTCCATCACCCCGCCCCATTCTCCCGCTTTCCATCACCCCGCCCCATTCTCCCGCTTTCCATCACCCCGCCCCATTCTCCCGGTTTCCATCACCCCGCCCCATTCTCCCGCATTCCATCACCGCGCCCCATTCTCCCTATTTCCATCACCCCGACCCATTCTCCCGCTTTCTATCACCCCGCCCCATTTTCCCGATTTCCATCACCCCTTTCCATTCTCCCGCTTTCCATCACCCCGCCCCATTCTCCCGCTTTCCATCATCCCGCCCCATTCTCCCTCTTTCCATCACCCCGCCCCATTCTCCCGCTTTCCATCACCCCGCCCCATTCTTCCGCTTTCCATCATCCCGCCCCAATCTCCCGCTTTCCATCACCCCGCCCCATTCTCCCGCTTTGCATCACCCCGCCCCATTCTCCCGCTTTCCATCACCCCGCCCCATTCTCCCGCTTTCCATCACCCCGCCCCATTCTCCCTCTTTCCATCACCCCGCCCCATTCTCCTGCTTTCCATCACCCCCCCCCCCATTCTCCCGCTTTCCATCACCCCGCCCCATTCTCCCTCTTTCCATCACCCCGCCCCATTCTCCCGCTTTCCATCTCCCCACCCCATTTTCCTGCTTTCCGTCACCCCGTCCCATTCTCCCGCCTCTTTCCATCACCCCGCCCCATTCTCCCACTTTCCATCACCCCGTCCCCATTCTCCCGCTTCCCATCACCCCGCCCCGTTCTCCCGCTTTCCATCACCCCGCCCCATTTTCCCGATTTCCATCACCCCTTTCCATTCTCCCGCTTTCCATCACCCCGCCCCATTCTCCCGCTTTCCATCATCCCGCCCCATTCTCCCTCTTTCCATCACCCCGCCCCATTCTCCCGCTTTCCATCACCCCGCCCCATTCTTCCGCTTTCCATCATCCCGCCCCATTCTCCCGCTTTCCATCACCCCGCCCCATTCTCCCGCTTTGCATCACCCCGCCCCATTCTCCCGCTTTCCATCACCCCGCCCCATTCTCCCGCTTTCCATCACCCCGCCCCATTCTCCCTCTTTCCATCACCCCGCCCCATTCTCCTGCTTTCCATCACCCCCCCCCCATTCTCCCGCTTTCCATCACCCCGCCCCATTCTCCCTCTTTCCATCACCCCGCCCCATTCTCCCGCTTTCCATCTCCCCACCCCATTTTCCCACTTTCCATCACCCCGTCCCATTCTCCCGCCTCTTTCCATCACCCCGCCCCATTCTCTAGCTTTCCATCACCCCGCCCCCATTCTCCCGCTTCCCATCACCCCGCCCCGTTCTCCCGCTTTCCATCACCCCGCCCCATTCTCCCGCTTTCTATCACCCTGCCCCATTCTCCTGCTTTCCATCACCCCGCCCCATTCTCCCTCTTTCCATCACTCCGCCCCATTCTCCCTCTTTCCATCACCCCGCCCCATTCTCCCGCTTTCCATCACCCCGCCCCATTCTCCCACTTTCCATCACCCCGCCCCATTCTCCCGCTTTCCATCACCCCGCCCCATTCTCCAGCTTTCCATCACCCCGCCCCATTCTCACTCTTTCCATCACCCTTCCCCATTCTCCCTCTATCCATCACCCCACCCAATTCTCCCGCTTTCCATCACCCCGTCCCATTCTCCGGCTTTCCCTCACCCCGCCCCATTCTTTTGCGTTCCATCACCCCACCCCATCCTCCCCTCTTTCCATCACCCCGCCTCATTCTCTCTATTTCTATCACCCCGCCCCATTCTCCCTCTTTCCATCACCCCGCCCCATTCTCCCGCCTTCCATCACCCCGCCCCATTCTCCCTCTTCAATCACCCCGCCCCATTCTCCCGCTTTCCATCACCCCGCCCCGTTCTCCCGCTTTCCATCACCCCGCCCCATTCTCCCGCTTTCCATCACCCCGCCCCATTCTCCTGCTTTCCATCACCCCGCCCCATTCTCCCTCATTCCATCACCCCGCCCCATTCTCTCGCTTTCCATCACCCCGCCCCAGTCTCCCGCTTTTCATCACCCCGCCCCATTCTCCCGCTTTCCATCACCCCGTCCCATTCTCCCTCTTTCCATCACCCCGCTCCATTCTCCCGCTTTCCATCACCCCGCCCTATTCTCCCTCTTTCCATCACCCCTCCATATTCTCCCTCTTTCCATCACCCGCCCCATTCTCCCGCTTTCCATCACCCCGCCCCATTCTCCCGCTTTCCATCACCCCGCCCCATTCTCCCCCTTTCCATCACCCCGCCATATTCTCCCGCTTTCCATCACCCCGCCCCATTCTCCCTCTTTCCATCATCCCGCCCCGTTCTCCCGCTTACCATCACCCCGCCCCATTCTCCCGCTTTCCATCACCCCGCCCCATTCTCCCTCTTTCCATCACCCCGCCCCATTCTCCCTCTTTCCATCACCCCGCCCCATTCTCCCGATTTCCATCACCCCTCCCCATTCTCCCGCTTTCCATCACCCCGCCCCATTCTCCCTCATTCCATCACCCCGCCCCATTCTCTCGCTTTCCATCACCCCGCCCCATTCTCCCGCTTTTCATCACCCCGCCCCATTCTCCCGCTTTCCATCACCCCGTCCCATTCTCCCTCTTTCCATCACCCCGCTCCATTCTCCCGCTTTCCATCACCCCGCCCTATTCTCCCTCTTTCCATCACCCCGCCCCATTCTCCCTCTTTCCATCACCCCGCCCCATTCTCCCGCTTTCCATCACCCCGCCCCATTCTCCCGCTTTCCATCATCCGCCCCATTCTCCCGCTTTCCATCACCCCGCCCCATTCTCCGGCTTTCCATCACCCCGCCCCATTCTCCCGCTTTCCATCACCCCGCCCCATTCTCCCCCTTTCCATCACCCCGCCACATTCTCCCGCTTTCCATCACCCCGCCCCATTCTCCCACTTTCCATCACCCCGCCCCGTTCTCCCGCTTACCATCAACCCGCCCCATTCTCCCGCTTTCCATCACCCTGCCCCATTCTCCCGCATTCCATCACCCCGCCCCATTCTCCCGCTTTCCATAACCCCGCCCCATTCTCCCACTTTCCATCACTCCACCCCATTCTCCCGCTTTCCATCATCCCGCCCCATTCTCCCGCTTTCCATCACCCCGCCCCATTCTCCCTCCTTCCATCACCCCGCCTCATTCTCCCTCCTTCCATCACCCCGCCCCGTTCTCCCGCTTTCCATCACCCCGCCCCATTCTCCCGCTTCCCATCACCCCGCCCCATTCTCCCGCTTTCCAACACCCTGCCCCATTCTCCCGCATTCCATCACCCCGCCCCATCCTCCCGCTTTCCATAACCCCGCCCCATTCTCCTGCTTTCCATCACCCCGCCACATTCTCCCACTTTCCATCACCCCGCCCCATTCTCCCTCCTTCCATCACCCGCCCCATTCTCCCTCCTTCCATCACCCCACCCCATTCTCCCTCCTTCCATCACCCCGCCCCATTCTCCCGCTTTCCATCAACCTGCCCCATTCTCCCGCTTTCCATCACACCGCCTCATTCTCCCGCTTTCCATCACCCCGCCCCATTCTCCCGCTTTCCATCACCCCGCCCCATTCTCCTGCTTTCCATGACCCTGCCCCATTCTCCCGCAATCCATCACCCCGCCCCATTCTCCCGCTTTCCATCACCCCGCCCCATTCTCCCTCCTTCCATCACCCCGCTTAATTTTCCCTCCTTCCATCACCCCGCACCATTCTCCCGCCTTCCATCACCCCGCCCCATTCTCCCGCTTTCCATCACCCCGCCCCATTCTCCTTCCTTCCATCACCCTGCCCCATTCTCCCGCTTTCCATCACCCCGCCCCATTTTCCCGCTTTCCATCACCCTGCCTCAATCTCCCTCTTTCCATCACCCAACCCCATTCTCCCTCCTTCCATCACCCTGCCCCATTCTCCTGCCTTCCATCACCGTGCCCCATTCTCCCGCTTTCCATCACCCCGCCCTATTCCTGTTTTCCATCACCTCGCTTCATTCTCCTGTTTTCCATCACCCCGCCCTATTCTCCCGCTTTCCACCACCCCGCCCCATTCTCCCGCTTTCCATCACCCCGCCCCATTCTCCCGCTTTCCATCACCCCACCCCATCCTCCCACCTTCCATCACCCCGCCCCATTCTCCCTCCTTCCATCACCCCGAACCATTCTCCCGCTTTCAATCACCCTGCCCCATTCTCCCGCTTTCCATCACCCGCCCCATTTTCCCGTTTTCCATCACCCCGCCCCATTCTCCTGCTTTCCATCACCTCGCCCCATTCTCCTTGCTTCCATCACCCCACCCCAATCTCCCTCCTTCCATCACCCCGCCCCATTCTTTCGCTTTCCATCACCCCGCCCCATTCTCCCGCTTTCCATCACCCCGCCCCATTCTCCCGCTTTCCATCACCCCGCCCCGTTCTCCCGCTTTCGATCACCCCGCCCCATTCTCCCGCTTTCTATCACCCTGCCCCATTCTCCCGCTTCCCATCACCCCGGCCCATTCTCCCGCTTTCCATCACGCCGCCCCATTCTCCTGCTTTCCATCACCCCGCCCCATTCTCCCTCCTTCCAACACCCCGCCTCATTCTCCCGCTTTCCATCACCCCGCCCCATTCTCCCGCTTTCCATAACCCCGCCCCATTCTCCCGCTTTCCATCACCCAGCCACATTCTCCCACTTTCCATCAGCCCGCCCCATTCTCCCTCCTTCCATCGCCCTGCCCCATTCTCCCTCCTTCCATCACCCCGCCCCATTCTCCCTCCTTCCATCACCCTGCCCCATTTTCCCGCTTTCCATCACCCTGCCCCATTCTCCCGCTTTCCATCAACCTGCCCCATTCTCCCGCTTTCCATCACCCCGCCCGATTCTCCCTCCTTCCATCACCCCACCCCATTCTCCCGCTTTCCATCACCCCGCCCCATTCTCCTGCTCTCCATCACCCCGCCCCATTCTCCCGCTTTCCATCACCCCTCCCCATTCTCCTGCTTTCCATCACCCTGCCCCATTCTCCCTCGTTCCATGACCCAGCCCCATTCTCCCTCCATCCATCACCCCGCCCTATTCTCCTAATTTCCATCACCCCGCCCCATTCTCACGCTTTCCATCACCCCGCCCCATTCTCCCGCTTTCCATCACCTCGCCCCATTCTCCCGCTTTCCATCACCCCGCCCCATTCTCCCGCTTTCCATCACACGCCCATTCTCCCGCTTTCCATCACCCCGCCCCATTCTCCCGCTTTCCATTACCCCGCCCCATTTTCCCGCTTCCCATCATCTCGCCCCATTCTCCCGCTTTCCATCACCCTGCCCCATTCTCCCTCCTTCCATCACCCCACTCCATTCTCCCGCTTTCCATCACCTCGCCCCATTCTCCCGCTTTCCATCACCCCGCCCTATTCTCCCGCTTTCCATCACCCCGCCCCATTCTCCCGCTTTCCATCACCCCGCCCCATTCTCCAGCTTTCCATCACCCCGCCCCATTCTCCCGCTTTCCATCACCCCACCCCAGTCTCCCGCTTTCCATCACCCTGCCCCATTCTCTCGCTTTCCATCACCCCACCCCATTCTCCCGCTTTCCATCACCCCGCTCCATTCTTCCGCATTCCTTCACCCCTCCCCATTCTCCCGCTTTCCATCACCCCGCCCCATTCTCCCACTTTCTATTACCCCACCCCATTGTCCCGCTTTCCATCACTCCGCCCCGTTCTCCCTCCTTTTATCACCCCGCCCCATTCTGCCGCTTTCCATCACCCCGACCCATTCTCCCACTTTCCATCACCCCGCCCAATTCTCTCGATTTCCGTCACCCTGCCCCGTTCTCCCTCTTTCCGTCACCCCGCCCCATTCTCCCGCTTTCCATCATCCCGCCCCATTCCCCCGCTTTCCATCACCCCGCCCTATTCTCCCTCTTTCCATCACCCCGCCCCATTCTCCCGCTTTCCATCACCCCACCCCACTCCCGCTTTCCATCACCCCGCCCCATTCTCCCGCTTTCCATCACCCCGCCCCATTCTCCCGCTTTCCATCACTCCACCCCATTCTCCCGCTTTCCATCACCCCGCCCCATTCTCCCGCTTTCCATCACCCCGCCCCATTCTCCCTCCTTCCATCACCCCGCCTCATTCTCCCTCCTTCCATCACCCCGCCCCATTCTCCCGCTTTCCATCACCCCGCCCCATTCTCCCGCTTCCCATCACCCCGCCCCATTCTCCCGCTTTCCATCACCCCGCCCCATTCTCCCGCATTCCATCACCCTGCCCCGTTCTCCCGCTTTCCATAACCCCGCCCCATTCTCCTGCTTTCCATCACCCCGCCACATTCTCCCACTTTCCATCACCCTGCCCCATTCTCCCTCCTTCCATCACCCGCCCCCTTCTCCCTCCTTCCATCACCCCACCCCATTCTCCCTCCTTCCATCACCCCGCCCCATTCTCCCGCTTTCCATCAACCTGCCCCATTCTCCCGCTTTCCATCACCACGCCTCATTCTCCCGCTTTCCATCACCCCGCCCCATACTCCCACTTTCCATCACCCCGCCCCATTCTCCCGCTTTCCATCACCCCGCCCCAATCTCCCTCCTTCCATCACCCCGCCCCATTCTCCCGCTTTCCATGACCCCGCCCCATTCTCCCGCAATCCATCACCCCGCCCCATTCTCCCGCTTTCTATCACCCCGCCCCATACTCCCGCTTTCCATCACCCCGCCCCATTCTCCCTCCTTCCATCACCCCGCTTCATTTTCCCTCCTTCCATCACCCCGCACCATTCTCCCGCCTTCCATCACCCCGCCCCATTCGTCCGCTTTCCATCACCCCGGCCCATTCTCCCGCTTTCCATCATCCCGCCCCATTCTCCCGCTTTCCATCACCCCAACCCATTCTCCCGCTTTCCATCACCCCGCCCCATTCTCCTCCCTTCCATCACCTTGCCCCATTCTCCCGCTTTCCATTACCCCGCCCCATTCTCCCGCTTTCCATCACCGCGCCCCATTCTCCCGCTTTCCATCACCCCGCCCCATTCTCCCGCTTTCCATCAACCCGTCCCATTCTCCCGCTTTCCATCATCCCGCCCCATTCTCCTGCTTTCCATCACCCCGCCCCATTCTCCCGCTTTCCATCACCCCACCCCATTCTCCCGCTTCCCATCACCCCGCCCCATTCTCCCGCTTTCCATCACCCCGCCCCATTCTCCCTCCTTCCATCACCCCGCTCCATTCTCCCTCCTTCTATCACCCCGCCCCATTCTCCCTCCTTAAATCACCCCACCCCATTTCCCTGGCTTCCATCTCCCCGCCACATTCTCCCGCTTTCCACCACCCCGCCCCATTCTCCCGCTTTCCATCACCCCGCCCCATTCTCCCGCTTTCCATCACCCCGCCCCATCCTCCCACCTTCCATCACCCCGCCCCATTCTCCCTCCTTCCATCACCCCGCCCCATTCTCCCTCCTTCCATCACCCCGCCCCATTCTCCTGGGTTCCATCACCCCGCCACATTCTCCCGCGTTCCATCACTCCGCCCTATTCTCCCGCTTTCCATCATCCCGCCCCATTCTCCCGCTTTCCTTCACCCCGCCCCATTCTCCCGCTTTCCATCACCCCGCCCCATTCTCCCGCTTTCCATCACCCCGCCCCATTCTCCCACTTTCCATCACCCCGCCCCATTCTCCCGCTTTCCATCACCCCGCCCCATTCTCCCGCTTTCCATCACCCCGCCCCAATCTCCCTCTTACCATCACCCCACCCCATTCTCCCTCCTTCCATCACCTCGGCCTATTCTCCTTCCTTCCATCACCCTGCCCCATTCTCCCGCTTTCCATCACCCCGCCCCATTTTCCCGTTTTCCATCACCCCGCCCCATTCTCCTGCTTTCCATCACCCCGCCCCATTCTCCTGCTTTCCATCACCCCGCCCCATTCCCCCGCTTTCCATCACCCCGCCCCATTCTCCCGCTTACCATCACCCCGCCCCGTTCTCCCGCTTTCCATCACCCCGCCTAATTCTCCCGCTATCCATCACCCCGCCCCATTCTCCCGCTTTCCATCACCCCGCCCCATTCTCCCTCTTTCCATCACCCCGCCCCATTCTCCCTCCTTCCATCACCCCGCCCCATTCTCCGCTTCCCATAACCCCAGCCCCATCTCCCGCTTTCCATCACCCCGCCACTTTCTCCCACTTCACCCCGCCCCATTCTCCCTCCTTCCATCACCCCGCCCCATTCTCCCGCTTTCCATCAACCTGCCCCCTTCTCCCGCTTTCCATCACCCCGTCCCATTCTCCCGCATTCCATCACCCCGCCCCATTTTCCCGATTTCCATCACCTCGCCCCATTCTCCTTGCTTCCATCACCCCGCCCCAATCTCCCTCCTTCCGTCCCATTCTCCCGCTTTCAATCTCCCCGCCCCAATTCTCCCTCCTCCCATCACCCTGCCCTATTCTCCCGCTTTCCATCACCCTGCCCCATTCTCCTGCTTCCCATAACCCCACCCCATTCTAACGCTTTCCATCACCCCGCCACATTCTCCCACTTTCCATCATCCCGCCCCCTTCTCTCTCCTTCCATCACCCTGTCCCATTCTCCCGCTTTCCATCACCCCGCCCCATTTTCCCGTTTTCCATCACCCTACCCCATTCTCCTGCTTTCCATCACCCCGCCCCATTCTCCCGCTTTCCACCACCCCGCCACATTCTCCCGCTTTCCATCACCCCGCCCCATTCTCCCGCTTTCCATCACCCCACCCCATCCTCCCACCTTCTATCACCCGCCCCATTCTCCCTCCTTCCATCACCCCGCCCCATTCTCCCGCTTTCCATCACCCCGCCCCATTCTCCCGCTTTCCATCACCCCGCCCCATTCCTCTGCTCTCCATCACCCCGCCCCATTCTCCCGCTTTCAATCACCCCGCCCCGTTCTCCCGCTTTCCATCACCCCGCCCAATTCTCCCGCTTTCCATCACCCCGCCCCATTCTCCCGCTTTCCATCACCCCGCCCCATTCTCCCTCTTTCCATCACCCCGCCCCATTCTCCCTCCTTCCATCACCCTGCCCCATTCTCCGCTTCCCATAACCCCAGCCCCATCTCCCGCTTTCCATCACCCCGCCACATTCTCTCACTTTCCATCACCCCGCCCCATTCTCCCTCCTTCCATCACCCCGCCCCATTCTCCCTCCTTCCATCACCCCGCACCATTCTCCCGCTTTCCATCTCCCCGCCCCATTCTCCCGCTTTCCATCACCCCGCCCCATTCTCCCGCTCTCCATCACCCCGCCCCATTCTCCCTCCTTCCATCACCCCGCCCCATTCTCCCGCTTTCTATCACCCCGCCCCATTCTCCCTCCTTCCATCACCCCGCCCCATTCTCCCGATTTCCGTCACCCCGCCCCATTCTCCCTCTTTCCATAACCCCGCCCCATTCTCCCGATTTCCATCACCCCGCCCCATTCTCCCGCTATCCATCACCCCGCCCAATTCTCCCACTTTCCATCACCCCGTCCCATTCTCCCGTTTTCCATCACCCCGCCCCATTCTCTCGCTTTCCATCACCCCGCCTTATTCTCCCGCTTTCCATCACCCCGCCCCATTCTCCCGATTTCCATCACCCCGCCCCATTCTCTCGCTTTCCATCACCTCGCCCCATTCTCCCGCTTTCCATCACCCCGCCCCATTCTCCCGCTTTCCAACACCTCGCCCCATTCTCCCGCTTTCCATCACCCCGCCCCATTCTCACTCTTTCCATCACCCCGCCCTATTCTCCCTCTTTCCATCACAACGTCCCATTCTCCCGCTTTCCATCACCCCGCCCCATTCTCCCTCTTTCCATAACCCCGCCCCATTCTCCCGCTTTCCATCACCCCGCCCCATTCTCCCTCTTTCCATCACCCCGCCCCATTCTCCCTCTTTCCATCACCCCGCCCCATTCTCCCGCTTTCCATCACCCCGCCCCATTCTCCCTCTTTCCATAACCCCGCCCCATTCTCCCGCTTTCCATCACCCCGCCCCATTCTCCCTCTTTCCATCAACCCGCCCCATTCTCCCGCTTTCCATCACCCCGCCCCATTCTCCCTCTTTCCATAACCCCGCCCCATTCTCCCGCTTTCCATCACCCCGCCCCGTTCTCCCGCTTTCCATCACCCCGCCCCATTCTCCCGCTTTCCATCACCCCGCCCCATTCTCCCGCTTTCCATCACCCCGCCCCATTTTCCCTCTTTCCATCACCCCGCCCCATTCTCCCGCTTTCCATCACCCCGCCCCATTCTCCCGCTTTCCATCATCCCGCTCCATTGTCCCGCTTTCCATCACCCCGCCCAATTCTCCCTCTTTCCATCACCCCTCCCCATTCTCCCTTTTTCCATAACCCCGCCCCATTCTCCCGCTTTCCATCACCCCGCCCCATTCTCCCGCTTTCCATCACCCCGCCCCATTCTCCCTCTTTCCATCACCCCGCCCCATTCTCCCTCTTTCCATCACCCCGCCCCATTCTACCGCTTTCCATCACCCCGCCCCATTCTCCCTCTTTCCATAACCCTGCCCCATTCTCCCGCTTTCCATCACCCCGCCCCATTCTCCCTCTTTCCATCACCCCACCCCATTCTCCCGCTTTCGATCACCCTGCCCTATTCTCCCGCTTTCCATCACCCCGCCCCATTCTCCTGCTTTCCATCACCCCGCCCCATTCTCCATCTTTCCATCACCCCGCCCCATTCTCCCGCTTTCCATCACCCCGCCCCATTCTCCCGCTTTCCATCACCCCGCCCCATTCTCCCGCTTTCCATCACCCCGTCCCATTCTCCCTCTTTCCATCACCCCGCCCCATTCTCCCGCTTTCCATCACCCCGCCCCATTGTTCCTCTTTCCATCTCCCCGCCCCATTCTCCCTCTTTCCATCACCCCGCCCCATTCTCCCTGTTTCCATCACCCCGCCCCATTCTCCCGCTTTCCATCACCCCGCCCCATTCTTCCTCTTTCCATCACCCCGCCCCATTCTCCCTCTTTCCATCACCCCGCCCCATTCTCCCGCTTTCCATCACCCCGCCCCATTCTCCCTCTTTCCATAACCCTGCCCCATTCTCCCGCTTTCCATCACCCCGCCCCATTCTCCCTCTTTCCATCACCCCACCCCGTTCTCCCGCTTTCGATCACCCCGCCCCATTCTCCCGCTTTCCATCACCCCGCCCCATTCTCCTGCTTTCCATCACCCCGCCCCATTCTCCCTCTTTCCATCACCCCGCCCCATTCTCCCGCTTTCCATCACCCCGCCCAATTCTCCCGCTTTCCATCACCCCGCCCCATTCTCCCGCTTTCCATCACCCCGTCCCATTCTCCCTCTTTCCATCACCCCGCCCCATTCTCCCGCTTTCCATCACCCCGCCCCATTGTTCCTCTTTCCATCTCCCCGCCCCATTCTCCCTCTTTCCATCACCCCGCCCCATTCTCCCTCTTTCCACCACCCCGCCCCATTCTCCCTCTTTCCATCACCCCGCCCCATTCTCCCGATTTCCGTCACCCCGCCCCATTCTTCCTCTTTCCATCACCCCGCCCCATTCTTCCTCTTTCCATCTCCCCGCCCCATTCTCCCTCTTTCCATCACTCCGCCCAATTCTCCCACTTTCCATCACCCCGTCCCATTCTCCCGTTTTCCATCACCCCGCCCCATTCTCTCGCTTTCCATCACCCCGCCTTATTCTCCCGCTTTCCATCACCCCGCCCCATTCTCCCGATTTCCATCACCCCGCCCCATTCTCCCGCTTTCCATCACCTCGCCCCATTCTCCCGCTTTCCATCACCCCGCCCCATTCTCCCGCTTTCCAACACCCCGCCCCATTCTCCCGCTTTCCATCACCCCGCCCCATTCTCACTCTTTCCATCACCCCGCCCCATTCTCCCTCTTTCGATCACCCCGCCCCATTCTTCTGCTTTCCATCACCCCACCCCATTCTCCCTCTTTCCATAACCCCGCCCCATACTCCCGCTTTCCATCACCCCGCCCCATTCTCCCTCTTTCCATCACCCCGCCCCATTCTCCTGTTTCCATCACCCCGCCCCAATCTCCCTCATTCCATAACCCCGCCCCATTCTCCTGCTTTCCATCACCCCGCCCCATTCTCCCGCTTTCCATCACCCCGCCCCATTCTCCCTCTTTCCATCACCCCGCCCCGTTCTCCCGCTTTCCATCATCCCGCCCCATTCTCCCGCTTTCCATCACCCCGCCCTATTCTCCCGCTTTCCATCACCCCGCCCCATTCTCCCTCTTTCCATCACCCCGCCCCATTCTCCCGCTTTCCATCACCCGGCCCCATTCTCCCGCTGTCCATCACCCCGCCCCATTCTCCCGCTTTCCATCACCCCGTCCCATTCTCCCTCTTTCCATCACCCCGCCCCATTCGCCCGCTTTCCATCACCCCGCCCCATTCTTCCTCTTTCCATCTCCCCACCCCATTCTCCCTCTTTCCATCACCCATCCCCATTCTCCCTCTTTCCATCACCCCGCCCCATTCTCCCTCTTTCCATCACCCCGCCCCATTCTCCCGATTTCCGTCACCCCGCACCATTCTCCCTCTTTCCATCACCCCGCCCCATTCTCCCGATTTCCGTCACCCCGCCCCATTCTCCCTCTTTCCATCACCCCGCTCCATTGTTCCTCTTTCCATCTCCCCGCCCGATTCTCCCTCTTTCCATCACCCCGCCCCATTCTCCCTCTTTCCATCATCCCGCCCCATTCTCCCTCTTTCCATCACCCCGCCCCATTCTCCCGATTTCCGTCACCTCGCCCCATTCTCCCTCTTTCCATCACCCCGCCCCATTCTCCCGATTTCCGTCATCCTGCCCCATTCTCCCTCTTTCCATCACCACGCCCCATTCTCCCTCTTTCCATCACCCCGACCCATTCTCCCACTTTCCATCACCCCGCCCCATTCTCCCTCTTTCCATCACCCCGCCCCATTCTCCCGCTTTCCATCACCCCGCCCGCTCCATTCTCCCGCTTTCCAACACCCTGCCCCATTCTCCCGCTTTCCATCACCCCACCCCATTCTCACTCTTTCCATCACCCCTCCCCATTCTCCCTCTTTCCATCACCCCGCCCCATTCTCCTGCTTTCTATCACCTCGCCCCATTCTCCCTCTTTCCATCACCCCGCCCCATTCTCCCGCCTTCCATCACCCCGCCCCATTCTCCATCTTTCCATCACCCTGCCCAATTCTCCCCCTTTCCATCACCCCGCCCTGTTCTCCCGCCTTCCATCACCCCGCCCCATTCTCCCTCTTTCCATCACCCCGCCCCATTTTCCCGATTTCCATCACCCCGCCCCATTCTCCCGCTTTCCATCACCCCGCCCCATTCTCCCGCTTTCCATCACCCTGCCCCATTCTCCCGCTTTCCATCACCCCGCCCCATTCTCCCGCTTTCCATCACACAGCCCCATTCTCCCTCTTTCCATCACCCCGCCCCATTCTCCCGCATTCCATCACCCCGCCCCATTTTCCCTCGTTCCATCACCCCGCTCCATTCTCCCGCTTTCCATCACCCCGCCCAATTCTCCCTCTTTCCATCACCCCTCCCCATTCTCCCTCTTTCCATCACCCCGCCCCATTCTCCCGCTTTCCATCACCCCGCCCCATTCTCCCTCTTTCCATCACCCCGCCCCATTCTCCCTCTTTCCATCACCCCGCCCCAGTCTCCCGCTTTCCATCACCCCGCCCCATTCTCCCACTTTCCATCACCCTGCCCCATTCTCCCGCTTTCCATCACCCCGCCCCATTCTCCCTCTTTCCATCACCCCGCTCCATTCCCCCGCTTTCCATCACCCCGCCCAATTCTCCCTCTTTCCATCACCCCTCCTCATTCTTCCTCTTTCCATCACCCCGCCCCATTCTCCCGCTTTCCACCACCCCGCTCCATTCTCCCGCTTTCCATCACCCCGCCCAATTCTCCCGCTTTCCATCACCACGGCCCATTTTCCCTCTTTCCATCACCCCGCCCCATTCTCCCGCTTTCCATCACCCCACCCCATTCTCCCGCTTTCCATCACCCCGCTCCATTCTCCCGCTTTCCATCACCCCGCCCAATTCTCCCTCTTTCTATCACCCCTCTCCATTCTCCCTCTTTCCATCACCCCGCCCCATTCTCCCGCCTTTCATCACCCCGCCCCATTCTCCCGCTTTCCATCACCCCGCCCAATTCTCCCGCTTTCCATCACCCCGCCCCATTCTCCCTCTTTCCATCACCCCTCCCCATTCTCACGCGTTCCATCACCCCACCCCATTCTCCCTCTTTCCATCACTCCGCCCCATTCTCCCGCTTTCCATCACCCCGCCCCATTCTGCCTCTCTCCATCACCCCGCCCAATTCTCCCACTTTCCATCACCCCATCCCATTCTCCCGTTTTCCATCACCCCGCCAAATTCTCTCGCTTTCCATCACCCCGCCTTATTCTCCCGCTTTCCATCACCCCGCCCCATTCTCCCGATTTCCATCACCCCGCCCCATTCTCCGCATTCCATCACCCCGCCCCATTCTCCTGATTTCCATCACCCCGCCCATAGAGATAGGCGCCCCTAGAGATAGGCGCCACTAGAGATAGGCGCCCCTAGAGATAGGTGCCCATAGAGATAGACGCCCATAGAGATAGGCGCCCATAGAGATAGGCGCCCATAGAGATAGGCGCCCATAGAGATATGCGCCCAAAGAGATAGGCGCCCATAAAGATAGGCGCCCCTAGAGATAGGCGCCCATAGAGATAGGCGCCCCTAGAGATAGTCTCCCCTAGAGATAGGCACCCCTAGAGATAGGCGCCCCTAGAGATATGCGCCCCTGGAGATAGGCGCCTCTAGAGATAGGTGCCCCTAGAGGTAGGCGCCCCTAGAGATGGGCGCCCATAGAGATAGCCGCCTCTAGAGATTTGCGCCCCTAAAGAGACGCGCCCATAGAGATAGGCACCCATAGAGATAGGCGCCCCTAGAGATAGGCGCCCTTAGAGATAAACGCCCATAGAGATAGGCGCCCCTAGAGATAGGCGCCCATAGAGATAGACGCCCATAGAGATAGGCGCCCCTAGAGATAGGCGCCCCTAGAGATAGGGGCCCATAGAGATAGGCGCCCAAAGAGATAGGTGCCCATAGAGATAGGAGCCCTAGAGATAGGCGCCCATAGAGATAGGCGCCCCTAGAGATAGCCGCCCATAGCAATAGGCACCCCTAGAGATAGGCGCCCCTAGAGATAGGCGCCCCTAGAGATAGGCGCCCATAGAGATAGGCGCCCCTAGAGATAGGGGCCCCTAGAGATAGGCGCCCATAGAGATAGGCGCCCAAAGGGATAGGCACCTCTAGAGATTGGCGCCCCTAAAGAGAGGCACCCATAGAGATAGGCGCCCCTAGTGATAGGCGCCCCTAGAGATACGCGCCGCTAAAGATAGGCGCCCTAGAGATAGGCGCCCCAAGAGATAGGCGCCCATAGAGATAGGCGCCCATAGAGATAGGCGCCCAAAGAGATAGTCGCCTATCGAGATAGGCGCCCCTAGAGATAGGCGCCCATAGAGATATGCGCCCCTAGAGATAGCCGCCCCTAGAGATAGGCACACCTAGAGATAGGCGCCCCTAGAAATAGGCGCCCCTCGGGATAGACGCCCCTAGAGATACGTGCCCCTAGAGATTGGCGCCCTTAGAGATAGGCACCCCTATAGATAGGCGCCCATAGAGATAGGCCGCCGCTAGAGATAGGCGCCCCTAGAGATAGGCGCCCCTAGAGATAGGCGCCCATAGAGATAGGCGCCCATAGAGATAGGCGCCCCCAGAGATAGGCACCCATAGAGATAAGCGCCCACAGATATAGGCACCCCATAGAGATAGGCACCCCTAGAGATAGGCGCCCATAGAGATAGGCGCCCATAGAGATGGGCGCCCATAGAGATAGGCGCCCATAGAGATAGGCGCCCCAAGAGATAGGCGCCCCTAGAGATAGGCGCCCATAGAGATAGGCGCCCAAAGAGATAGCCGCCCATAGAGATTGGCGCCCCTAGAGATAGGCGCCCATCGAGATAGGTGCCCATAGAGATAGCCGCCCCTAGAGATAGGCACCCCTAGAGATAGGCGCCCTTAGAGATAGGCGCCCCTGGAGATAGGCGCCCCTAGAGATAGGTGCCCCTAGAGGTAGGCGCCCCTAGAGATGGGCAACCATAGAGATAGGCGCCTCTAGAGATTGGCGCCCCTAAAGAGAGGCGCCCATAGAGATAGGCGCCCATAGAGATAGGCACCCCTAGAGATAGGCGCCCATTGAGATAGGCGCCCATAGAGATAGCCGCCCCTAGAGATAGGCGCCCATAGAGATAGGTGCCCCTAGAGATTGGCGCCCATAGAGATATGCGCCCCTATAGATAGGCGCTCAAAGAGATAGGCGCCCCTAGAGATAGGCGCCACTAGAGATAGGCGCCTCTAGAGATAGGCGCCCACAGAGATAGGCACCCCTAGAGATAGGCGCTTATAGAGATAGGCGCCCATAGAGATAGGCGCCCATAGAGATAGGCGCCCATAGAGATAGGCGCCCATAGAGATAGGCGCCCATAGAGATAGGCGCCGCTAGAGATAGGCGCCCCTAGAGATAGGCGCCCATAGAGAGAGGCGCCCATAGAGATAGGCGCCCCCAGAGATAGGCACCCATAGAGATAAGCGCCCACAGAGATAGGCGCCCCATAGGGATAGGCACCCCTAGAGATAGGCGCCAATAGAGATAGGCGCCCATAGAGATAGGCGCCCATAGAGATAGGCGCCCATAGAGATAGGCGCCCATAGAGATAGGCGCCCATAGAGATAGGCACCCCTAGAGATAGGCGCCCATAGAGATAGGCGCCCATAGAGATAGGCGCCCATAGAGATAGGCGCCCCTAGAGATAGGCGCCCCTAGAGATAGGCCGCCGCTAGAGATAGGCGCCCCTAGAGATAGGCGCCCCTAGAGATAGGCGCCCATAGAGAAAGGCGCCCCCAGAGATAGGCACCCATAGAGATAAGCGCCCACAGAGATAGGCGCCCCATAGAGATAGGCACCCCTAGAGATAGGCGCCCATAGAGATAGGCGCCCATAGAGATAGGCGCCCATAGAGATAGGCGCCCATAGGGATAGGCGCCCCAAGAGATAGGCGCTCCTAGAGATAGGCGCCCATAGAGATAGGCGCCCAAAGAGATAGCCGCCCATAGAGATTGGCGCCCCTAGAGATAGGCGCCCATCGAGATAGGTGCCCATAGAGATAGCCGCCCCTAGAGATAGGCACCCCTAGAGATAGGCGCCCATAGAGATAGGCGCCCCTGGAGATAGGCGCCCCTAGAGATAGGTGCCCCTAGAGGTAGGCGCCCCTAGAGATGGGCGACCATAGAGATAGGCGCCTCTAGAGATTGGCGCCCCTAAAGAGAGGCGCCCATAGAGATAGGCGCCCATAGAGATAGGCACCCCTAGAGATAGGCGCCCATTGAGATAGACGCCCATAGAGATAGCCGCCCCTAGAGATAGGCGCCCATAGAGATAGGTGCCCCTAGAGATTGGCGCCCATAGAGATATGCGCCCCTAGAGATAGGCGCTCAAAGAGATAGGCGCCCCTAGAGATAGCACCACTAGAGATAGGCGCCCCTAGAGATAGGCGCCCACAGAGATAGGCACCCCTAGAGATAGGCGCTTATAGAGATAGGCGCCCATAGAGATAGGCGCCCATAGAGATAGGCGCCCATAGAGATAGGCGCCCATAGAGATAGGCGCCCATAGAGATAGGCGCCCCTAGAGATAGGCGCCCCTAGAGATAGGCGCCCATAGAGAGAGGCGCCCATAGACATAGGCGCCCCCAGAGATAGGCACCCATAGAGATAAGCGCCCACACAGATAGGCGCCCCATAGGGATAGGCACCCCTAGAGATAGGCGCCAATAGAGATAGGCGCCAATAGAGATAGGCGCCCAAAGAGATAGGCGCCCATAGAGATAGTCGCCCCTAGAGATAGGCGCCCATAGAGATAGGCACCCCTAGAGATAGCCGCCCCTAGAGATAGGCGCCCCTAGAGGTAGGCACCCCTAGAGATAGGCGCCCCTAGAGATAGGCGCCCATAGAGATAGGCGCCCATAGAGATAGGCGCCCATAGAGATAGGCGCCCATAGAGATAGGCGCCCATAGAGATAGGCGCCCATAGAGATAGGCGCCCATAGAGATAGGCGCCCATAGAGATAGGCGCCCCTAGAGATAGGCGCCCCTAGAGATAGGCGCCCATAGAGATAGGCGCCCATAGAGATAGGCGCCCCTAGAGATAGGCGCCCATAGAGATAGGCGCCCATAGAGATAGGCACCCATAGAGATAGGTGCCCCTAGAGATTGGCGCCCATAGAGATATGCGTCCCTAGAGATAGGCGCTCCTAGAGATAGGCGCCCCTAGAGATAGGCGCCCCTAGAGATAGGCGCCCATAGAGATAGGCGCCCCTAGAGATAGGCGCCACTACAGATAGGCGCCCCTAGAGATAGGCGCCCATAGAGATGGGCACCCCTAGAGATAGGCGCCCATAGAGATAGGCGCCCATAGAGATAGGCGCCCATAGAGATAGGCACCCCTAGAGATAGGCGCCCCTTGAGATAGACGCCCATAGAGATAGCCGCCCCTAGAGATAGGCGCCCATAGAGATAGGCGCCCATAGAGATAGGTGCCCCAAGAGATTGGCGCCCATAGAGATATGCGCCCCTAGAGATAGGCGCTCCTAGAGATAGGCGCCCCTAGAGATAGGCGCCACTAGAGATAGGCGCCCCTAGAGATAGGCGCCCACAGAGATAGGCACCCATAGAGATAGGCGCCCATAGAGATAGGCGCCCATAGAGATAGGCGCCCATAGAGATAGGCGCCCATAGAGATAGGCGCCCATAGAGATAGGCGCCCATAGAGATAGGCGCCCATAGAGATAGGCGCCCATAGAGATAGGCGCCCATAGAGATAGGCGCCCCTAGAGATAGGCGCCCCTAGAGATAGGCGCCCATAGAGATAGGCGCCCATAGAGATAGGCGCCCATAGAGATAGACGCCCATAGAGATAGGCGCCCCTAGAGATAGGCGCCCCTAGAGATAGGCGCCCATAGAGATAGGCGCCCATAGAGATAGGCGCCCATAGAGATAGGCGCCCCTAAAGATAGGCGCCCATAGAGATAGGCGCCCCTAGAGATAGGCGCCCATAGAGATAGGCGCCCATAGAGATAGGCGCCTATAGAGATAGGTGCCCCTAGAGATTGGCGCCCATAGAGAAATGCGCCCCTAGAGATAGGCGCTCCTAGAGATAGGCGCCCCTAGAGATAGGTGCCCCTAGAGATAGGCGCCCATAGAGATAGGCGCCCCTAGAGATAGGCGCCACTAGAGATAGGCGCCCCTAGAGATAGGCGTCCATAGAGATAGGAACCCCTAGAGATAGGCGCCCATAGAGATAGGCGCCCATAGAGATAGGCGCTTATAGAGATAGGCGCCCATAGAGATAGGCGCCCATAGAGATAGGCGCCCCATAGAGATAGGCGCCCATAGAGATAGGCGCCCCTAGAGATAGGCGCCCATAGAGATATGCGCCCCTAGAGATAGGCGCCCCTAGAGATAGGCGCCCCTAGAGATAGGCGCCCCTAGAGATAGGCGCCCATAGAGAGAGGCGCCCCTAGAGATAGGCGCCACTAGAGATAGTCGCCCCTAGAGGTAGGCGCCCATAGAGATAAGCGCCCATAGAGATAGGCGCCCAAAGAGATAGGCGCCCATAGAGATAGGCGCCCATAGAGATAGGCGCCCATAGAGATAGGCGCCCATAGAGATAGGTGCCCCTAGAGATTGGCGCCCATAGAGATATGCGCCCCTAGAGATAGGCGCTCATAGAGATAGGCGCCCCTAGAGATAGGCGCCCCTAGAGATAGGCGCCCATAGAGATAGGCGCCCCTAGAGATAGGCGCCACTAGAGATAGGCGCCCCTGGAGATAGGCGCCCATAGAGATAGGCACCCCTAGAGATAGGCACCGATAGAGATAGGCGCCCATAGAGATAGGCGCCCATAGAGATAGGCGCCCATAGAGATAGGCGCCCCTAGAGATAGGCGCCCCTAGAGATAGGCACCCATAGAGATAGGCGCCCAAAGAGATAGGCGCCCATAGAGATAGTCGCCCCTAGAGATAGGCGCCCATAGAGATAGGCACCCCTAGAGATAGCCGCCCCTAGAGATAGGCGCCCCTAGAGGTAGGCACCCCTAGAGATAGGCGCCCCTAGAGATAGGCGCCCATAGAGATAGGCGCCCATAGAGATAGGCGCCCATAGAGATAGGCGCCCATAGAGATAGGCGCCCATAGAGATAGGCGCCCATAGAGATAGGCGCCCATAGAGATAGGCGCCCATAGAGATAGGCGCCCCTAGAGATAGGCGCCCCTAGAGATAGGCGCCCATAGAGATAGGCGCCCATAGAGATAGGCGCCCCTAGAGATAGGCGCCCATAGAGATAGGCGCCCATAGAGATAGGCACCCATAGAGATAGGTGCCCCTAGAGATTGGCGCCCATAGAGATATGCGTCCCTAGAGATAGGCGCTCCTAGAGATAGGCGCCCCTAGAGATAGGCGCCCCTAGAGATAGGCGCCCATAGAGATAGGCGCCCCTAGAGATAGGCGCCACTACAGATAGGCGCCCCTAGAGATAGGCGCCCATAGAGATGGGCACCCCTAGAGATAGGCGCCCATAGAGATAGGCGCCCATAGAGATAGGCGCCCATAGAGATAGGCACCCCTAGAGATAGGCGCCCCTTGAGATAGACGCCCATAGAGATAGCCGCCCCTAGAGATAGGCGCCCATAGAGATAGGCGCCCATAGAGATAGGTGCCCCAAGAGATTGGCGCCCATAGAGATATGCGCCCCTAGAGATAGGCGCTCCTAGAGATAGGCGCCCCTAGAGATAGGCGCCACTAGAGATAGGCGCCCCTAGAGATAGGCGCCCACAGAGATAGGCACCCATAGAGATAGGCGCCCATAGAGATAGGCGCCCATAGAGATAGGCGCCCATAGAGATAGGCGCCCATAGAGATAGGCGCCCATAGAGATAGGCGCCCATAGAGATAGGCGCCCATAGAGATAGGCGCCCATAGAGATAGGCGCCCATAGAGATAGGCGCCCCTAGAGATAGGCGCCCCTAGAGATAGGCGCCCATAGAGATAGGCGCCCATAGAGATAGGCGCCCATAGAGATAGACGCCCATAGAGATAGGCGCCCCTAGAGATAGGCGCCCCTAGAGATAGGCGCCCATAGAGATAGGCGCCCATAGAGATAGGCGCCCATAGAGATAGGCGCCCCTAAAGTTTGGCGCCCATAGAGATAGGCGCCCCTAGAGATAGGCGCCCATAGAGATAGGCGCCCATAGAGATAGGCGCCTATAGAGATAGGTGCCCCTAGAGATTGGCGCCCATAGAGAAATGCGCCCCTAGAGATAGGCGCTCCTAGAGATAGGCGCCCCTAGAGATAGGTGCCCCTAGAGATAGGCGCCCATAGAGATAGGCGCCCCTAGAGATAGGCGCCACTAGAGATAGGCGCCCCTAGAGATAGGCGTCCATAGAGATAGGAACCCCTAGAGATAGGCGCCCATAGAGATAGGCGCCCATAGAGATAGGCGCCCATAGAGATAGGCGCCCATAGAGATAGGCGCCCATAGAGATAGGCGCCCCATAGAGATAGGCGCCCATAGAGATAGGCGCCCATAGAGATAGGCGCCCATAGAGATAGGCGCCCCATAGAGATAGGCGCCCCTAGAGATAGGCGCCCATAGAGATATGCGCCCCTAGAGATAGGCGCCCCTAGAGATAGGCGCCCCTAGAGATAGGCGCCCCTAGAGATAGGCGCCCATAGAGATAGGCGCCCCTAGAGATAGGCGCCACTAGAGATAGTCGCCCCTAGAGGTAGGCGCCCATAGAGATAGGCGCCCATAGAGATAGGCGCCCAAAGAGATAGGCGCCCATAGAGATAGGCGCCCATAGAGATAGGCGCCCATAGAGATAGGCGCCCATAGAGATAGGTGCCCCTAGAGATTGGCGCCCATAGAGATATGCGCCCCTAGAGATAGGCGCTCATAGAGATAGGCGCCCCTAGAGATAGGCGCCCCTAGAGATAGGCGCCCATAGAGATAGGCGCCCCTAGAGATAGGCGCCACTAGAGATAGGCGCCCCTGGAGATAGGCGCCCATAGAGATAGGCACCCCTAGAGATAGGCACCGATAGAGATAGGCGCCCATAGAGATAGGCGCCCATAGAGATAGGCGCCCATAGAGATAGGCGCCCCTAGAGATAGGCGCCCCTAGAGATAGGCACCCATAGAGATAGGCGCCCAAAGAGATAGGCGCCCATAGAGATAGGCGCCCCTAGAGATAGGCGCCCATAGAGATAGGCACCCCTAGAGATAGCCGCCCCTAGAGATAGGCGCCCCTAGAGGTAGGCACCCCTAGAGATAGGCGCCCCTAGAGATAGGCGCCCCTCGGGATAGACGGCCCTAGAGATACGTGCCCCTAGAGATAGGCGCCCCTATATATAGGCGCCCCTAGAGATAGGCGCGCATAGAGATAGGCGCCCCTAGAGATAGGCGCCCATAGAGAGAGGCGCCCCTAGAGATAGGCGCCCCTAGAGATAGGCGCCCCTAGAGGTAGGCACCCCTAGAGATAGGCGCTCATAGAGATAGGCGCCCATAGAGATAGGCGCCCTTAGAGATAGGAGCCCCTAGAGATAGGCGCGCATAGAGATAGGCGCCCCTAGAGATAGGCGCCCATAGAGAGAGGCGTCCCTAGAGATAGGCGCCCCTAGAGATAGGCGCCCCTAGAGGTAGGCACCCCTAGAGATAGGCGCTCATAGAGATAGGCGCCCATAGAGATAGGCGCCCTTAGAGATAGGAGCCCCTAGAGATAGGCGCCCCTAGAGATAGGCGCCCCTAGAGATAGGCGCCCCTAGAGATGGGCGCCCATAGAGATAGGCGCCTCTATAGATAGGCGCGAGGCGCCCATAGAGATAGGCGCCCATAGAGATAGGCGCCCTTAGAGATAGGAGCCCCTAGAGATAGGCGCCCCTAGAGATAGGCGCCCATAGAGATAGGCGCTCATAGAGATGGGCGCCCATAGAGATAGGTGCCCCTAGAGATTGGCGCCCATAGAGATATGCGCCCCTAGAGATAGGCGCTCCTAGAGATAGGCGCCCCTAGAGATAGGCGCCCCTACAGATAGGCGCCCATAGAGATAGGCGCCCCTAGAGATAGGCGCCACTAGCTATAGGCGCCCCTAGAGATAGGCGCCCATAGAGATAGGCACCCCTAGAGAAAGGCACCGATAGAGATAGGCGCCCATAGAGATAGGCGCCCATAGAGATAGGCGGCCATAGAGATAGGCGCCCCTAGAGATAGGCGCCCCTAGAGATAGGCACCCATAGAGATAGGCGCCCAAAGAGATAGGCGCCCATAGAGATAGGCGCCCCTAGAGATAGCCGCCCATAGAGATAGGCGCCCCTAGATATAGCCGCCCCTAAAGATAGGAACCCCTAGAGATAGGCGCCCCTAGAGATAGGCGCCCCTAGAGATTGGCGCCCCTAGATATAGGCAACCCTACAGATAGGCGTCCATAGAGATAGGCCGCCGCTAGAGATAGGCGCCCCGAGAGATAGGCGCCCCTAGAGATAGGCGCCCATAGAGATAGGCGCCCATAGTGATAGACGCCCCCAGAGATAGGCGCCCCTAGAGATAGGCGCCCATAGAGATAGGCGCCCCTAGAGATAGGCGCCCATAGAAATAGGCGCCCATAGTGATAGGCGCCCCCAGAGATAGGCGCCCCTAGAGATAGGCGCCCATAGAGATAGGCGCCCATAGAGATATGCGCCCCTAGAGATATGCGCCCATAGAGATAGGCGCCCATAGTGATAGGCGCCCCCAGAGATAGGCGCCCCTAGAGATAGGCACCCATAGAGATAAGCGCCCACAGAGATAGGCGCCCCCTAGATAAAGGCGCCCCTAGAGATAGGCGCGCACAGAGATAGGCGCCCCTAGAGATAGGCGCCCATAGAGAGAGGCGCCCCTAGAGATAGGCGCCCCTAGAGACAGGCGCCCCTAGAGATAGGCAC